CATTATCCCCGTTTTTCGATGATTTTGTATATCAATTTTACGAATAATAGAATAGGAGGGGATTATCGATTGTCGTTCATCGCCGAATGCAAATTGAAGGGGCAAAACGCGAATTGGGAGTAAGCCGCGGGGAAATTATTGATAATCTCATCAATATTCGCGTTATTGTCAGGCGCAGGGCGCCAATAATTAACGCGCAATTGGACGCGAGTATCGATACGAGGAACGGGGGCGATCTGCAACACATGTCGCTCTATTAATAACGCAGTAACCGGTGCTATCGATACCTCCGGCCGATCGATCGCCGAGTCTCTCTCGGTCGGGAAGTAACTGGTAAGGAAAGGAAGATACGACACGCTTCGGTGGTTTTCTCTTTTTTCCACGATCGGCTCGTTTTTCGAGCGCGGATGGACAAAGTGACGTCGGATAAATCAAAAGTATGAAACGCTGCCGGCAGAATTTCGGCATATTTATGGCGGTGGCAATTCAATGATACACATTCCCGGTCGCGCGTAATAGTCAATATTTCCATCAGAAGCATACCTACAACTCACGCCCACGCCGACGAATTGGCGCGGGCAACGGTGCTTTATGAGAGTTCAGGGCGCATTTGACAGCGCGATGCGCCCGGCCAGTTGTTGCTATTTATTCGCGCATTACATTACTCTGTTACCGAGTCGAGTGTCACCAGCTAATTTGCATTATAAGTGCCGCTGATGTTATCATCGCCTCGCTTATACGTTATGGCCCCGTTGACTGGATCGTCACACCACACGAGCCGCGTTGTCTCGGGACCACACGAAACTATACCTGATCGCTCTTTTTTTCAGGAGAGAAGAAAAAAGAAGAAAAGAAAAGAAAAGAAAAAAAACGAACGGAAGACGAACAAGGGAAGGGAAATTTTCCCGATTAAGGATGCGAGTAGAGATGAATTTCCACGCGATGGTCGGCCTATGAAATGTACATGCACGTGTATACGTATACGTATACAGGTTGGAGCAGGTGAAGTGGAGATTGAAGCGAAATATGAAAATCCGGGCAACCGGTTCTCGTATTGAGCACGTCGCGTTTAACGAGCCGCATAAGACAGAAAAATATACACATAATGAACGTGAATACGGGACGGGAGTTTTCTTTTAGGGGAGCCTATCCCATTCACGAAAATCGCTCCTCCTCCTCCCCCTCCCCCCTCCCCGTGGAAAAACGCGGACCAGCCGAGGCCCCCTCCCCTTCCTTTTCAACCTTATCCCGGCCAAAATTCTCTATATTCTTTTAATTAAACTCTACTTTTGCCGACGTTACACGACGTGGTATGTGGAATCGGCTCGTCGAATTTCCCGCTTCTTTTTCCTTCAATTCAAGAGGAGCATCGCCGAGTAGTAGTACCACACGCCGGGCAGTATCGTCTTCCACGTTTTTCTCGACCGCGGCAAAAAAAAAAAAAGAAAAAAATAAAGGGGAGGAGGAGGAGGAGGAGGAGGAGGAGGAGGAGGGAGGCAAAGTTTAAAGTCGTCCATCCGATTCCGAGGGCTGTGTTCAAAGTGTGATAACTAACGATCGGCTGGCGCAATTATCATGTACACCGGCCGCGCGTACAACAACGCCACATTTCGGAGTGGCAATTCGCGCGTACGATACATTATCCAGGATGGGTGGGGATCCTCGCAGTTTCGTTCAACCCGCCAGTAATAACGCTGCCATTTTCGACCCTTGTTCGACCCCCCTCCCCGCCTCTTCCGTGCAAGAGGGGGTGGTGTCACCGACAATGCTTTCCTTCGACCGTACCCGATATTTCCAACGCCCCCCTCCCCCTGTTTTTTCTCTCTTTTTTCTCTCCCTCCCTCCCTCCCTCCCTCCCCTGTTTCGCTCGCTCGCGAAAATAACTCATTTCGAGGAGGTGGCGGCAACCTGTCGATAGCAGCCACGTCCGCCGCTACGACAACGTGTAAACAACCGCCGGCCCGTCCAACTTTCCTAGTGTATTATATATATATATATATATATGTGTGTCGTCGGCCGTGAGAGGAATCCCCGGATCGGCCGCTACTCGATTTCCACCGATCCTCCCTCGTGGTTTTTTCCCCCGTGGTTCCGGCAAGGGTGGCGGAGCCGATTCTTTTTACACGCGGTGGCCACGTCGCGCGTGTACGCGAAACTGCCGATGATAGGATGGGGGGACCTCTCGACTCCCTCCCCCCCCCCCCTCCCCCAGCACCATACACCTGGCAAGTGACACGAAACAAATCTACCGATACGACTCCACTTCACGGCCGCCGGCGCTTCATCGTCAACCGTGGGGAATACAACAACCGGTCCGCAAATCCTTGGCGCGCTCGAACGAAAAAAAGAGGAAAGAAATTCGAACAAACGCGGATCGCGAACACGGTCGATTTGAGTTTTTTTCCCCCCCTCGAACGCGAAAGAAACGCGATCTCGCTCAAAAGCGCCGCTCCTTCTTCTCGCCTGCGAAACGATCTTTTTCTTCGCTCGTTTCGATTCGATCCCGCCTCGACCGGCAAAAAGCGCATTATGGGCCGTAAACTTGGCAGATGGCCAAGTTGTCCGTTCTCGATCCGATCGTTTCCTTTTTCCGGAGCCGATTATTCCGGGGTTATTATTCCACGGAAATTTTCTCCTCCTCCTCCTCCTCCTGCTTTCCCCCCTCCCCCCCCTCCCCAAAAGAGTAATGCTTTTTCACTCGCGAATCATCGCAACAACGATTAATGCAAAGTTGAACGGTATCAATGCGGGCAATACGGAAGAACGGGATCAAAAGCGAGCGAGGCACGTTCGTACGGAAGCAAATTAGAGGGTGTTTCGAATTGAAGCGGCGAGGGGAGGCTGTTCGAACGGGGGGACGAACAAATGAAATGAAACGTCGCTACTCTCCGACGGAATGGAGGAAGAAGAGAGAGAGAGAGAGAGAGAGAGAGAGAGAGAGAGAGATTATTGTCGTTACACCCTTCCCATCCGTCCATCCATTCCTCCCCCACTTTTCCCAGTTAGACTGCTTATTTGCCTAATTGCGCGCCACCACCCGATAAATTTCGACGAATCATCGCATCGTGACGCGAATTTTTCTCCCCCGATCCACGACATTTCTCACTCACCTCGAGAAGATTGAGAATCGATAGATAGATAGAGACGCTTAAACTATAATAGGTATCTACGTGTGCGTGCGTGCGTGCGTAGGGGGGCGGGGGGGGGGGGGAGGGATGGGAAGAGGGCTCTCGATCGGAGAAAAGATTCGCAAAAAAGACGATTCGCGGATCTGCTCTCGTGGATCATCATCCTCGTGGCTGGTTCGTTAGGGGGGTCAGGATCAATGGGTTCGTCGCGGGTGCTCGTAATTTTATGGGATTCCGTAACAACGACGAGCGCATCGTTTGCTATCGAACGCGGAGGAGGGTGAAGTGGAGGAGAGAACGGAGTCGTCTTGTTAAAAGTAGCCCGCCTCATTGCCTCCGATATCTGGTAGAGGTATACATATATACACACACCACCGTCGCTACCCTCCTCCTCCTCCTCCTCCTCCTCCTCGTGTTCCGTCAGGGTAGCTAGCTCGAGAATCGAGCATCTCAATAGCCACTCGAACCTCCTATCTCCCTCCCCTCCCACCACCGTCTTGTTACACGCCAATTGCCAACCCGATTTCCTCCCCCCCCCTCCCCTCGCGCGCGATACCTTTTGCCCAACCGCGCTTTTAAAGCTCGATAGATCGTAAACTTTCCCTTCCTTCTCTCTCTCTCTCTAGTCGGTCGGGGAGGGGAAGAAGAACGGCGCGGCGAACAATAAGCAATAATAGGTAAATGCAATTCAAAGCTGGCAACGCTAGGCAAGGCGACGACAGAGGGGGAGGGGAGGGGAGGGGAGGGGGTGGTGGTGGTTACAATGGCGGGAAATGCAAGGCAGGCATTTGCTGCGGGAAACAGGCGGCGGCAACAGGAGACAATACAGGGACGGTTCAGGTGGTGGTCTATTGCATATTTGCTTTTACGCAATTCTGCTCGCTCGCTCGCTCGCGATATTACGCAATCACGATTTATCCGCCCTCGCTCAGCCCGGCTTTAATCCGCTCGATTCCGCCCGGATCATCGCAAACTTTCGAGCGCGAGAAATCCTGTGGATGCTGCCGTTTCGACGTTATCGACGTTCGTTCCAAATTCTTCCCCTCCCCCCTCCCCGTGTTTCTCGAGGGATATTGGAAAGCTGGCGGCGGTGGCCTCGCGATTTATGTCTAAATTTATTCACCGACGCAAACAAAACGCATCAGATTCGGCCCGAAGCGACCGCCGCCGCTCCCTCGACGCAACTTACCGCAATTTTATTCGTTTTTACATACCGGCCCGGCCAGCGATAAGAAAATGCCCCGTGATATTTCACGTTTTTATACGCGGACCGCTTTTGCCTTGAGGTGTTGGCCGGCCTTGCGCCCCCTCGAAACGTTACGTGGCCCGGCTGATATGCGAAATAAGTAGCCCCGGGCCATTAGAAACCCGTAGCCTCGTTAACTCGATACAAAACCGAGTACACATCCCCGAAACTCGTCCACCAAGATGGCCTCCTCTTTCTTCCACCCCCAACTTGCTCCACTCGACAGAGATAGACGCTCCTTTATCGACGCTCCGTCCATTCTCATCCCGGACTTTCCTCTCCGGGAACACAAGGCTTTCCTGCGAGCAACCGTCCATTCTCACGTGTGAAAAACGACGATAAGTTTCTCCCCTCCCCTCCTTCCCCCTTTTCTTCCGTTAACGAGTTAATTTTCGAGTTAATAATCGAAAATAATGAAACTCGTTACGGCTCGCGAGGCTCAAACGTTACTGTCGGAAAAGAAGTAAGAACGTACTGTAAGAACGTAAACATCAACAACGAAATTCTACTCGGGATATATTTATATTTATATATCGGCTCTCAGTTCTCGTTATTCTGGAATTGTTTGTTGTTTCAGTTCACCCTATACTTCTTCGCTCCATCTTCCTTCGTTCCTTTCCAAAATTTCAATTGATCGAGTATTTTTCGGCCTGAATATGAATACGAAATATGATTTTTCTATTTTTCGCTGCTTGTTCATTGATTAATCAATAAATTCCTTTTAAAATTCCCCCTCTTTTAACGTATAGATAATATTAGGGGAGGATTCTTGTTACTTGATCGATAACCTTGTAAATACAAGTGTAAAATGGTTAAAAAATCTTATTTCTCTCGCCAGAGGGAGAAACAGGAAATTGTTGGGAAATCGGATCGATTACGAGTTCGAAAACGGCACGAGTCGCTGTTGCGAACCGCTTCGACGAACTTTGGAAATATTTTCGACTCTCGGGACCCGTTCAAACTCAACTTACACGTTGCCTCTTCCACGTTTCCTTCCTAGTTTCACCCCTTTCGCCCGTGCCAATCTCGAAGAAGGGGGGCGGGAGGGGAGCATTGTTGCGTCCAAATTGTGCGTAACTACGACAATAGTTGGGCAGGATTGGCGGAATTAATGAAAACTCTGGTCGAGGGTGGAGGAAGCGAGAACGAAACGAAGGGGAGCGGGGGGGAAGGATCGTCGGCTAATCGTGACAAATACTGATCCCGGATTGCCGAATTATAAACTAACGTCTTGAGCAAACTTTCTCCCCTTTTCTCTTCCCGACCCCCTCTTCTTCCCTCCTGCTTCCCTGATCTCGCTCTCCTCATCGATCCGCTTCCTTCTCTTTAATCGTCGCTCGAACCGATAATAAAATGATAATAAATCTTTCTCAATTTAATTTAGTCGATTTATTGTTAAATTTTCGAATCTATCGTGTAACATGCGTTTAACAAGTGTATAATAATACTCTTTTTTCTTTATATATTAAGCGAGTTATACGAAATATGAACAACAAACGTGCAAACGTGATTCCTCTTTCCTCCTCCCCCCGTACGAGAAATTCTATCGAATTTTCATTTTCGATTATACTCTCGTCCGAATTTGTTCGAAGTGCGGGGAGGGGGAGGGGAGGGGGGGGGAGAAGAAGAAGAAGAAGANAAAAGAGAAGAAGAAGAAGAGAGAGAGAGAGAGAGAGAGAGAGA